AAATATATCTACGAATATCAATTTTTCGTTTTTAAATGCAGTTTTTGGGGGGGTTGTTGTAACCCCTTTAACCCCCTCCCCCCATGCTACGGGCCTGCATCACTAGTTGTGGTGCCAGCGGGGAAGAAGGCCCTAAGCCTCGGCCATTAGACAGGTCAAACCCCCCCCCCAACCAACGACCAAAGCTTGTCGGGCAGTCGGACCAAAAAAAAAATAAAATAGGCCTACGCCAAACCAACACATGTCTGTCACAGTCTGAGAGTGCGATTTTTGGCCATCCATAGGTCCCTATTCATACAAAAATCAGGGTAGACACCCCCTTCCAAACCCTTCTCTCTGCTCAGACATAGGAGGTCAACCCCCTCTGTTGGACAGCTTTATATAGCACCCTTCAGCTAATATATCCTACAGCCACCATTGCTCATCACTGGCAGTATATTTTACGCCACTGTTGAACATTCCTAATATTCCAAAGATTTCTGCTTGCCACTGTACCTCCTCCTCCATTGGAGGTAGGCCTACTAGCCCCTACCTTTCCCATCTGGGAAGGGCTAGCGCCACTTCTACTTACTATCGATGATATTCACTTTTTATATAGTCAACTTTTGATGATGGTATTTATATTGAAATCACTAATAGGAGAGTTGTGACTGGATCATGAGCTACTGAACAGCCTCAAGGGATTAATGTAGACACACCTGTAGGTACCAAAAACTTTGATAGCAATAACGTGTGGTTTAAGGTTATTCCTTGACTTCGACTTGAATGGAAAATCTGGTTAAGGGGGGTGGGGATAATCTGGTTGAAGTTAAAAATTGATAAATTCTACTATCAATACAAGACAATAAAAAGTTATTATCAATCTAAAATTTAACAAGCAATTTTAGTACGAAATTGATATTCATTATAATAAAAATAATGGGGTCAAAGATCAAGGAAAGCACGTAGCCAATAATCTAGAAGAGAATTAAAGTATTAACAAAAGATATAAAGGAAATGCCATTTCGTCTCTTTACGGATTTGTTTCCAATGAGGTAGTTTAAAAAAAAAAATGAAAAAAAAACACATTACAAAAGTGGAGCAAAACAAAAGCTCAAGGTGAAAAGAAACATGTGAACTTCCTGAATGAAATGTCGTGAAAGGTCGTATTGAAGTACGAAGGTCAGCAAAGACCTCCTTTTGAACATATTCTGGTAATGATGCTTAAATCTGACTTTGGCCCTTAACACGTTGGCTGCCAGGGACGACTATATTCGTCAAAATTGGGGTAACATTGTAGCGTTTATTACTTCATTGTTATACATTGTAGAGCCACAGACTTAATGACTGGCAGTTCTTGGAAAATGCACCTAGACAATAACGTACAAATCACGTATGTATGTTTGTTGTGTATGTTGCCGGTAGTACACTTGAGCGGCACAAGTGGGGGTGCCCTATGAACATATACCAACCTATGCAAAAAGCAGACGAGAAAACTCGTGCTTGGCATAGTCAATAAAAAGTGCTGTCACAGTGCCACCAACGAGTTTACTCGTTGTTCCCTAATATTTTCCCGCCAATTTATAATAGAAACATTGTTTTCATGATGACTAGGTAAATTAAAAAAAGTATGTTTGTACATGTAAACTTGTTTTGGCACACGGAAAGGAACCAATACTAAAAAAGGGTCTGGCAGTCAGCATGTTAAATTGAGAGTAAACTTTAATACTCAGACACAATTTGGCAGATCGCTACTTTGAGATATAAAACGTTGGATCCTGAGCCACTTAATTTCATTGTTTATTCAGACATGTGCTTTGGGCCCCCAAAAGTAGCCTTGGTGGGTTTTCATTTTTCACAACCATTGGAAGTCATATTATTAAGTTCCTTTTACAGATTTTTTTTTTCAGTGATATACAAATGTTCAGGTGTAAGTTGAAGGCTGCTTCCAGGAGATCTGATCAAACAAGTGCCTTTTGCCCTAAAAGTCACCATGACTAAAGTCTGGAACCCCAGTAAACTAAACTTAATGCTTTGATATAATATAAAATGTAAAATTAGTTAAGGATTTATATATTTTTATATGGGAATTGTATTAATGAATAATGTGTAATTAAGGATTTTTTTTTTTTTATATTTTGAATTTTTTTTTTTTGACAGAAATAATAACACCTCAATTTTTAATTTAGCAAAGCATTCAATATCAATGCCCCTTTTTTATGTATTTATATGTTTTAATATTGTAATGTTATTAAATTCAGCCATTTGCTGTCGAATGTGATATACCAAAATAAATATATAAAATAAATTAAAAAAAAAAAACATAAACTAAAAAATATCAAAAGTGAAAGGCCAAGATAAATCAATAAAGATTATTGTATTATGCTATCAAATTCAGTCATTCACTGTCGATTGTAAATCATATACCGAAATAAATAAATAAATAAATTAAAAAAAAACATAAGCTCAAAAATATCAAAAGTGAAAGGCCAAGATAAATAAGTAAAGATTTATGTGAGCTATAATTCAAACAGTGTCTCCGTTTGAATGATGTGAATCTCAAACTTTACATTTTTCTGTTCGATTTTTAATATTGTTTTTGATTGTACAGCCATTTCTTTACAATAGTTTACTTAGCCTTGGTTGTTAGTACTGTATGTTTTCAAGTAATAAGTTCATTCACATATTTTTTCCAGTAGTAATATACAGGTTCAGGGATAAGTTGAAGGCCGCTTCCAGGAGATCTCATTAAACAATCTACCTTACACAGCGGTAGAAAAGCGTTGGAGGAACCAACAGTACCCTCGCAGAGGTCTTGTTTTGTATTTTTGAGCATGGTGATCATGCCCATGGCTATTTGAAGGCGAAAATTGATATTACTTGTATGAACAGAAAATCATGCATGAATTTGTGGTAAATGAGTTTCCATAAATGTGTCTGCAATCTCTATTGGGAACTGCTGAAGTATTTTTGTTAGCAGTACCATAGATTTTATTTTAGCTTTTATTTATTATTTATTTTATTTCAGATTTAAGTTAAGTGCGGTTACGGCTAATATTCAAGTAATTATGGGCTCCGAAACCACAAATCAGAAATACTGTGATGGGTGATAGTTTTACTTATATACTAGTTTAGGTCATTACAATCACAATCTCAATTTTCAAGTCCCGAAACCTTGACTCGGAAATACAGGGATAGTGTCCGGCGAGGGATACTTACAGTATTACCTGGTATTGTTCCAACTATTATTTCTGTTTATTTATGAGCGGACCCTTGCAAATATTTCATTGTAAAGTAATTTTTTTTTTTAATGACAAATAAATTATACTGAATCAGAATACTGCAATGAAATGGTTTCATTGCATCTAAAAACAAAGGTATTGATCAATAAATTATATGCGTGGATAAATGTGAATTAATGACGTCATTTAACTCCCTAATGAGTAATCTTTTTTTTTTTGGTAGATGGTTTGGCTCGAAACGCCGACAAATCCGTTGCTTCGTCTCGTAGATATTCAAGCCGTATGTGAAGAGGTGCATAAAACCCCCGGGATCATCGTTTGTGTCGACAACACTTTCAGCTCGAGTTATTTTCAGGTTGGTATTGAAGCAAATTAACATTTTAAATTATTTATATTTAATGTGATGGATATTCAGTTTAGATTATTATTATTATTATTGTTTCTGTTGATGCTGTTGCTGCTGCTGTTATTCTGTATAGATAATTAATATTATAATAAAGCTTGAAAATTACTTTTTGACACTACATATTTGAATAAAAGTGGAAAAAATTTTCAGCAAACATTTTGACAGCTTTCATTTTATCCTCTTTTTCATGAAGAATTGTTATTGTTATTTTATCATGCATTGTTATTGTTTTATTATCATTGCTGTACTATAATTATTAGGATTATTATTATGACTATATTGTAAAGTCTAAATTTTGAATTATTTGAATGATCATTTTTATAAATTGAATTTTAATGTTTTACCGTAATGTTTCTGTTTTGTGTTTTTTTAAAAATTATTTTTGATATTTGAATTGACATTTTGGCTGTGTAAGCCATTTAATGCAGGCTGCATCCTGGTGTTTGTAAATGTTTTATTTTGTATATTTTTTATGAATATCAATAAAGAATGATCGAAACATAGTTACTATTAGGATTATTTATTTGTTAGCACTATAATAATGTTAACGTTAGGATCATTATTATTAATACATGATTTATATTTACAGTTAAACTTGAAGTCGACTTTTTGAATTTCTAAGTCAATCTTCTTATTCTACATGCCGAATTGTTGGGTTTTGCACTAATTAACTATGATCTGTAAAGTCCAATATAGTTAAATTTTTCAATGCAATTTTGGATTGGACTTTAATCAAGTTCAACTGTGTTGCAGTACATTTCATTAATGTTTATTATTGCAGCGTCCTCTTAATCTTGGTGCTGATTTGGTCATGTGCTCTGCTACCAAGTACATGAATGGCCACAGTGATGTTGTCATGGGTTTGGTTTCCACTAACAGCGATGAATTGAAAGAACGTTTGAATTTCCTCCAGCTTGGTAAGTAATTATGCAAATTATTTAGTTAGATTATGCTAATTATGTAGTTGATGAATCAGTTTGGTGGATGGGATGCCTTCCTTCTAGTCCTAGGGTCCTGGGTTCAAATCCTGTAATGTTGATGGACTGGAGCCACAGTTTGGTTGTTGAGATGATGCCTTCCTTCTATTCCTAGGGTCCTAGGTTCAAATCCTGCAATGTTGAAGGACTGGAGCCACAGTTTGGTTGTTGAGATGATGCCTTCCTTCTATTCCTAGGGTCTTAGGTTCAAATCCTGCAATGTTGATGGACTGGAGCCACAGTTTGGTTGTTGAGATGATGCCTCCCTTCTAGTCCTAGGGTCCTGGGTTCAAATCCTGCAATGTTGATGGACTGGAGCTGCAGCTTGGTTGTTGAGATGATGCCTTCCTTCTAGTCCTAGGGTCCTGGGTTCAAATCCTGCAATGTTGATGGACTGGAGCTGCAGCTTGGTTGTTGAGATGATGCCTTCCTTCTAGTCCTAGGCTCCTGGGTTCAAATCCTACAAGTGGAAAAACACATGTGACATGCCTAAATATGGTTGTGATGACATCACATCATGACCATATATAGGCACATCATGACTATATAAGGGCATACAACAGTTTTTTGTCAGAGAAAATTTTCTTGACAGAGCTTAAGACTATATATTACTGCAAACTTCGACAAAAGGAGTCATTCTACTTGATGATTTAATGTTTGTTTATTTTTTTTCATTGTTAAGCTCTCGGCACCATTCCATCACCGTTCGATTGTTACCTTGTGAACCGTGGTTTGAAGACTTTGCATCTTCGTATGCGGGAGCATGCAAAGAATGCGCTAGGTGTTGCAAAATTTCTGGAAAATAGTAGCCGCGTGTCGAAGGTCCTGTATCCAGGTACGTATATTTGAGCTGTGTGTTGACATGGTATAGACTGGAGGTACTTCAATACTTCATAACAACTTACAATTGGATATTTCCCGAGTGTCAGTCAAACTTCACAACTGACCAATCAGGTTAGGACCAGGAATAGGCACATGTGGGACCTTAGCAACAAGATTTAAGGGGCGGAGCATAGCAGAAAGTTCATATTGAACAATGGGGAATGGTTATGTTGCCTCAGCTATCTGCCATCAAATCATATTCCAAGAGTAGATGTGCGCTTGGCAATAATTATTTAAGTTGGAAAAACATTTTATAATTAGTAAAATTTGCCTAATAAATTTTATATAACAAATTTAAATATAAAATAAAACCAGTGTGGAAGCACAACCTATTTACTTTAGCAATAATGGTTGTAGTTTAATAACGAAAGCAGATACAAACATAAGAATATTATTATTAATAATATGATAATGATAGAAATTTATAACGTGGCAATGCAACAAATTTATACAGAAGTAATATATTACCATAGTTTCTCTGGTATAATGGCACCCCTTGAAAACATCATATTCCAAGAGTAGATGTGCGCTTGGGTAGGGGAATAGAGAATCAAAAGGCAATTTTTCAACACTGCATGATTAATTCAAAGCCAATATTAGATGTTGTCCTTAGAGTATTTTGTAAAAGTCAGTTAAGCTACTCATTCAAATTATAAACTGGGCATTTGCCCGATGAAAAGGGTGGCAGATAATTTGGTCATAAAATAAGGGATAGGCTTATACTCGAGGAACTACGGTATGTTGCATACAATAACACTATGGCAGCAGCAACTTTAGTTCACAACTCACGGATATCAGGTTGCCTGCTCCTGCACTGATTACCGGTAGCAAAAATTATAGCATGTGGACCCAATGACCAGGGAAAAAGAACTGCGCTTTATAACCGCAAGGAGTAGGTGCATTATAAATAACTATACCAGTACTAGTGTCCCCCTCCCAAATGAGATTTAAAAAAAAGAAATAGGGACCTCTGGATAGCTGGAAATGGCACTCTACGACTGTGAAAGACATGTTTTGGCTTGGTGTATTTTTTTTTGGTCCGAATGCCCAACGAGCTTGGCCGGTGGGGGCCTGGGGCTTGACTTGTCCGATGGGGGCCTTAAGTCCCTCCTGATTTCCGCGCCGCCACTTCATACAACACTTCATACAATTTTGTACTTGCATATTCTTTCAGGCTTGCCTTCACATCCACAACATGAACTTGCAAAGAAACAGATGACTGGCTTCAGCGGGATGGTAACGTTTTTCATCAAGGGTGGTATTGAGCAATCAAAACTGTTCCTTCAGTCATCCAAGCTGTTCACCCTCGCTGAGAGCCTTGGTGGTTTTGAAAGCCTTTGTGAATTACCGTAAGTAGTCAAATAGACAGTGTTTAATACAGTACTGGCAAGATCTGCGCAGGGCGCACAGTACAGTTCTTGAATGGGGTTATGGTACATTGAGAAAATTTATAAAATTCAATAGATATTAATTTGAAGTTCTTTAAACAATCTTTATTTTCTAATTAACCTAAGTATTACCATTTCCAATACTTCACACCTTATCTAGATCATTGGGGTAAACCCCTACTTTTCCGGAAGGTGTAATGTGTTCATTAAAGTGCATACATCCAAGTCAGATATGTACTCTGAACTGCCGGTTTTAAGTTTTTATCTAGAAAGACTTGTTTCTGCCGAGAGAACCGTGGTTGAGTGTCACAAACCAGTGATAATGCTGTAGGTAGCTGTGGCTCTGCCTCACTACTCGACCACTTCACTTTTTTTCTCCTCTTTTTTCCTTTAAGCCGGTTTTACACGAATTTATAGACGAATTAGTTCGCGTGAATGAAAATCATCGGTTCACTTCCATGAGCTCAAAAGAATTGATTTTGTTTTCCCCATTTTTTTTTGCTTCACAAAAAGTAGAAACAGTTTCAACTACTGATTTCGCTGGAGAGAAAAAACTCGCATAGAAATTTGGATGCACATGCACATGGACAGACGTTTTTGATTCACACGAATGTATTCACTTGGTGTAAAACCTGTTTAAGGCACATGGGCCAAGATTGCCAATAGCGATCTTACTCACTATCCTACTCATAAATGCAATCCATTTCACAAGACAAGCTGTCATACATGAACTATAGGCGGGCATTCCCTGGGTCATCAGACAAAGTCAAATCTGCTTCCTGTAAGCACTAAACGGCGCGATGTCATTTGCTGATTGTCGATGGCAGTCTGAGCTGATCGCCAAAATGAACTGTTGCGCGTGCATTGCGGCCTTGCATTCTCCATAGAATTGCTGACGAATGTCTGGCGTAGTGAGCACCTGACTTGCGTCTCATTATGAGGGTTAGTGAGTAAAGTTGTTCTTGGTCGTGAAAATAAATCCTGTAATATTCATGGGAATTGAACCAAGGCAATCATTTTCACCACCGTGCTATCAACTCCACTTATCCAAGAAAATGCTGAAATCATGTATCTTGTATTACATAGGTGTGTGATGACGCATGCATCCGTGCCAGCTGCCGAGCGTCTTGAGTTAGGCATTACCGACACTCTCATCCGTCTCTCTGTTGGTATTGAGGATCTGGACGACCTCATTGCCGATCTTGATCAAGCTCTCAAAGTGGCTGTAAGTTTCTTTCTAATTAATTTTTTAATCAATCAATAGAAATCAATCAGTTAATTAATTGTGAGGTTTTCCCACAAAAGAGTTGGTATCGAACAACGAGATTGCTTATAATAAATCGACAGTATGATCTTCATTTTTAATATCAGATATCTCTGAATAGAATTGCTTCAGGGAAAATGCATTTTGTGTGGTTTTCCTAATCAGTGTGTAAAGTATTCTTTAAAAATGTACCTTAAAATCCCAGAAACCAGCGTCAGTGGCCAAAAAAAAAAAGTTGAATTTTTAATGTTTTCTATTCTCTGTTGGCGGATTGCTATGAAACGGTCTTAACAGGTAGTCTTAACACGTCGAATAAAGCCGGCTTTACCACTTAGACCGCCTGACTAAAGTCACTACGCTAAGACCATTGCTATAAAATGGTCTTCGTTCAGACTGCTTTGAGTATGGAAATGCAAACAAGCACTCCCTGGTAACATAACATTGAGGGTGCTGTTACACATATGTCACACTTACTTGACACATGCACATATATCAAAATGAACGTACATAAATGTAGACAGGTTTTTATAGCAATCCACCCCATATTGTAATCTTTAAAATGATGGGTCATACTGGAATTAATTTTCTATTGCCAAAGTTATAAGTAAAATTATTACTGTTTCTTTGTACTAAAGTATACAATACTGCAACAATACCTTGGTCTTGGAATGACAGCTTTATTTTGTAGCAAGTATTTTAAAAGCATATCAGCAACCTTGAAACGCCAATATTTCCTTCTGGTTACATAAATTTAAAAAATATAATTAAATGAAAAAAAACCCACATTTTTTTAACATTGTACAAGTTGCTCTTCTGTAATATGCTTTAAAAAAAAATTAATAGCATTAACTCAGTGATTATTTATATTAAATATTAAATATAAATTGTATCATTTTTCTCAACAGATCCCAGACTTGGATGCCCTCAAACAATAATCATCGTGAAGCATTGTGTAATTGTGCACTTCCCTGAGCATTAATTTGTAGTACAGTGTACGACTGGTATTTATTTTATAGTGCAGCGCACTTGCCATTAATATTTAGTACAATGCATTTCAATGCACTTGAAAGGAGGTAAATAAATGTTTCAAATGAATGAATGAATGAATTAAACATTGATTGCCAAAAAAAATTAATGCATCTGGTTTGTTGCAGCTGAAACTTTAGTAGTAAAACATATAGACACAATCTGCAACTTGGAACCTCTAAATCTCAGTATTTCACTTGTAGGCACCCATACCTAGTCTAGTTGCACCAGACCTAACACTTCTTGAAATGTATCCATATATAGTCAGCATTTTTTGGTGCATTAGCAAACTATTCTGATAATATTTTTAGTTGATTTGGAACAGATAACTGGTGTTCCAACCAATATTATTCAACACCAATGGTGTACCTTACAGCTGAAACAGTCTAAAATGCCATGAATTTTCCTCTACTGAGCATTGCTCACTCTGTTTACAATTTCCCTCCTCTTCCCCCACACTATATGTCACATTATAATTTTCTTTCTACTACCAGTGGTAGTGCTAGGATTTCCCCGACAGCAGGGCAACTTCCCCGACAGGCAGTGCAAGATTTTTACTTTGGCAGTTAGCGCCATCTGAGGGCTGTAGGCCTGAGATGGGGAAGGGTTTGGGAGGGGTTCCCAATGAGAAACTTCATTAAAATAAGCCTCTAGACGCTCATACAGGTGTCAAGAATCTCTTCGGCATCAAAACTATTAATTTATATAGGCCTTTCAAATTCAGGCCAACATTTGATAAACGTTTCATTATTTTTTTTTGAATTCCCTGATGAATCTCTTCTTACTTCACTGACGTAGCCCCTCCCAGCCTCCTCCCCTACCCGTAGCGCCACCACTGCCCACTACTGTTGTCACATTACTGCATTTGTTGATTGTGTCTATTATGTGCTGTAATGAACTGGTCCTTGGGTATTGTGTGTATATTGCAGCTGATATGATGATCGTTTTTGATGGGTTTTTTTTTTAGGTATATTTTTTGATTTAGAACATCCAAGATCTCATGTCACTACATGTCAGTACTTGCCAGTGTTCAGATCACGTCTTGTTACGACAATACAACTGTGGCGCCAGCAGGTAGGCCAAATTGGCCTAAGCCAATGGTGGTGCCAGCGAGAGTGTATGGAGAAACAGTCTTGAACCCTCTTTGTCCACCTCCATGATGAGGTTGTTGGGCCTAAAATAATTTGCCTACACAAATAACGTAATTTAGATTGATAATATTATGGTCTAAGAGCACAGTTTAGGCCATGCTAAGCCATAAAACCTGCCCCCAAGAACTATACCAGGGATTTTTATTTCGGGACCTCTTGGTTGGGAGGTGGTGGCGGACATGTCAGACCCCTTGTTGGTAAATTTCTGGAGCAACATCTGACCTGAAGTCAGCTCATGTGGGAGTCATGGAAAATCTGTCTGGGTGAAAATATAACAATTATTTTCTAAGCCTGAAAGCTGGCCTGAGAATTTTTTAGGCATTTACAGGTGACAAAGCCTAAAATATTCAACCTCAGCACCTCCAAAGATGGGACTGAGGTGAGTAGGATCAGTCTGTCAGAATAGGATGGACCACCTGCTGGCAAAATTTTGAAATCACTGCTGTGACAGTTTCGCATTGTAAATATTTCCCCATTGTACTATTTATGTTAGTGATCACTTAAAAAAAAAAAAATACCTCATCTGTATCTCATAAATATCCCCTTATATATTTATAAAAATATATTTATTGATTTTGGCGATGGGTAAGGGACTACTATTTGGATAAAGTTATACTTAAATAAAGTTGTTTGTTACCTATGAAATATTTCCTTTTTTATTTAAATACTACTATCCATACATTATAAGCTACTGTATATGAATAATGAATTTTGATTGACTATATTATGATATATCAGTATTTTTTCCATTGTATAACCCATGTTGGTTTAAAAAGAACCCATTATTTTCTGAAACAGTTGCAAATAAAATTATAGTTTGATAGTCACTAAAACTGTTTGTCTTTGTTTTCACTATGAAGTATTTTGATGTTTTTTGGCAATGAATACTGTATAGGCAAGAAAAAAAAATAGCTTGTTAATTAGTGATATCGTCTGGTATAGGAAAAACCGGGGGGAAAAACTAACAATTGTTTTTCTGTTCATCCATCAGCATCATCATTATCATGACGGTTTACTATCATATCATCATCATCATGACCATCAGTTTTGTCGTCATCATCATCATCACTATCATTACCGTCATCATATCATTGCGATCACTATCATCACTTTTGTGTCTTGCATTTATCATCATTATTATCGCGATCTCTGTTTTCCATCATCTGTCCCCGCTACCCCGATCATACACAGCACTTATGTTTCAAACACAGTTTTGCACGTTGGCCTACTGACGCCTATAAACTCTCATTATTTAATTATTTTCCTAGACTCTGGGATACGTTGCCGGTTGAAAAATGAATTTTATTTCACAACTGAAGGAGCATTTAAGATACAAAATATATTTTACGAATGAAGATTATAATTATGTGATGATTATATTTATTATGGTACTGGTAAAAATAATATTTTGTGTTAATATTATTATTATTATTAATAATAATAATTGTTATTATTGTTAATATTATTATTATTATTACTATTATTATTATTATTATTGGTATTGTTATTATTATTAGGCCGTATTGTTGTTATTACAGTTAAAATGTTTTTTTTTTTTCTTTTGGCTTGTGTTTTGTATTTCCAGGGAACAGTGAAATTACAAATTATTGTAATTTCACTGTTCCCTGGTATTTCTTTGTACGTGGTTGGCGAAATAAATGATATATGATGTCATCACTGGCACTACCACTGTAGAAAATAAAGGCTGTTACAAATTTGGTTGTGGATTTTTTTTAAATGACTCCCCTTCCATACACAGTTATTTAACAATAAATATTCTTCAAAGAAATACAACCATAAGGCATCAAAACAAATCTTTAATTTCAATCAGCCACAGTATTTATTATATTTGGCTTATCGACTATTCTTGCTATCTGACTGCATGTATTCGTAATACTGGCGATTTGCTACAATATTATAGTTGCACATAAAACTGTGTATACTTTATGATATAATCATATACTGTTGTATTAACATAATAATCATGGCTTTATACAAGCCTCCCTTCAATTAAAGACCACTTTGGGGACCGTGGTTTTCATGGTCTTTAGCAGCTTTGGCCTCTAATTAGAATCATAAAAAATAAAAGACATTCGGACCACGGAAAAGTGATCTTTTATTTCAGGTGGTTGTTGATTGGAGGGGTCTTTAATTAGAAAGAGACCTGCAATATGTACGCATTATGTTCTCCGTGTGCTACGTAATATTACAACACATGCCAATTGAAAATCTATCCTTGCTCTTGCCAACAACTATTTACTTAAAACTAAGCATCAGTTACCATATATA